AATTCAAATAGATCATTCTGACAGCTTTTGCGTCTCTTCTTCACTCTCTTTTGACTTTTACATCTTTCTCCGTTTTATCATTAAGCTTAAAGTAATCACGAAAATTATCCTTGTGGTTTATAGTCTAATTATAAAAAATTCAGTTACCTTTGAAAGCAAAAATAGATGTCACCATCTAATCTAAACAAATTGCACCAGTCTGGAGTCTTTTTGGGATCGGCATGGCTGGCTTAACTGTTAGACAATCAATCATACTTTTTGACAAATATGCACACTTTCATACTCGTGTCATACTCTAAAACACAACTTAAACAAACGTATGCCATTTGACAATATAAGTATGAAATTTTCTTCCAAAAGTATGATGGGCGAACCACCTAACCATTAGATTGTGTCACCACAGAAATTGTGTTTTCGGACATGTACTAGCATTAAAATGGTATTTGTATGTTTGAAAAAATAATAGTCCCTCTCTCTCTCACAATTCACACACACACACACACATATTTTAATGCCTGTGTGTCTAACTTCTGTTTGCAGATTTAGGACATCTCTAACTTTTGTGTGCAAATCTAGATACAGGCCACACATAGATATTGTACATTTGCTTGAACCTGACTTAATATTTTGGCTTTTAACTCTCCTACTTTTTTTTTACCCTCACATAGTATTTGATGATTTGGACTAATGCAGACGGACGGCTTCGGCACGCATTCATCGGCGTAGGATTCCGCGAAAGAACCGAAGCATATGATTTCCAAGCCGCCCTTCATGACCATATGAAGTATTTATCTAGCCACCATTGTTACTTTTGTTGCTTTTCATTTACTCATATGATTTTTCTTTTTGTTATACATGTAATTAGTTCAAGCTTCTCAAAAATCAGTTTTAATATTAAAACCTCAAAATTTCAAAAGGTACCTAAACAAAAAGAAAACGGCAGAAGAGATGGAGCAGCAGTACCAACATACTTCGTCAGTCGATTACAGTTTAAAAGACGGGGAGACCTTGGTCCTTCAGTTAAAGAATGTAAAAATCCCTTTTTTGCCCTCCCTTTCATTGAGTCCACAAGCTGTGTTGTATATGGCCACATAATAATACAAATTTACAAATTTACAGAAAGGTAGTGGCGGCAATAGCAGCAGCATAAAAGCAAAGTTGAATAATCTTTCGTTGGAGGAAAAGGTTAAAAGCCAAGAATCATCGATTGTCGGTCTCAAATTGCCGCCGCCTCCGCCATCGCCAGTGTCCCCAGTTGCAGCTGTTATGGGCAAGTCCCCTTCGGAATTTAGTCGAGATGAAAATTTTGAAATGAAGGATTCTGAAAAAGAACCACAAGATACACCTAATGATGATTTTGGGGATTTTCAGGCAGCGGGATAGAGCAATGTTTATAGTGAATTTTTTCTCTTGCTTGAGGATTTTTGGGGTGTAATGTCATGTAAGATGACTCTGTGTGTTGATATAATT